TTATATCTAAATATGTAATATAAATTGACAATTATTTATATTAAATTATGTGATTATTATATTTCATTATTATGTTAATTTTATTAATTTTTTATAAGAATATTATTATTTCTTAAGTCATCAAGTTCGACCGGTCGAACCGTGAACCTCTCCGCCTTCCGGCCAATTTTTACAACCTTGACCAGCCCACACTTTGTTGACTTCTTTTATTTTTGTGCCCAAATATACATGCTAGGATGTTTAGCTAGTTGGGCATAGGTTAATGTACCCATGAAGCTTTGGCATTGTGGGCCAAAGCTTATCCCCTTATGTGAAACCTAGAGGCCCTTAGAAACAAGATATGAAATGAGCATATATGTGAAAAGGCTAGAGTAGCTCTAGTGGAAGATAAAATTAGAGAGAGTCGCCTTAGATGGTTTGGTCACATAAAATGGTGGTCTTCTGAAGACCCTGTTAGGAAAGTAGATGCATTAGATTTGATTTATGTTAAGAAATGTATAGGTAGACTAGAAAAGACATGATAAGAAAATATTAGAAATGACATTTCTTTATTATATTTTGATAAGAATTTGACTCTTAACAGGACAAAATGAAGAAAAAGAATTCATGTAGCCAACCAAACATAGTTGGATAAAGGCTTGTTGTTGTTGTAGTGCTACAACAATCAACACCTCTTTGCCGCAATGATGCCTCCAATTCCTATAGACCCGAGAGATTGGCACTGATGCGCCCAAGTTTGAACTAAGTTTAAATTAGGGTTGAACACATAATAGTGTGCGAACATTTTTTTATTTTTTTTTATAATAGTGTGCGAACATAATTAAAAAAAAAAAAAACTTTAGGTCTAATAATATCATGTGTTTTAAATTTTATTTGAATTGAATTCAAATTTCAAATGAGCCTTATATTATGTATGCAAACTTTTAAAATCGTTCAAAATTTATTTTTGAACCTACATTAAAACAAATTTTGAAGCATTTATTTGGATATAACTTTTGAACATGTCTCCTTATCATAAGGACTATTTGCGTTTGATGGTGAATTATATCTTATCAAAATTATAATTAAAAAATATTAAAACAACATTCTATTGGCAATTGAAGGGAACATTTGAAATAATTGAACGAGGCTTCAACTAAGGGATGATAATATAATCAATGAAACTCTAAAACTATCGTAGGAAGCTTGGAATAGAAAAATTTGAGTTGCATTATTGTTCGAATGTTTGCATGAATGTAAGGGATTATCCTTCATATTAAAATTGAGTATATTTTAGTCCAAAATAAAAATTTGGGCTGATTTATGCAAACTAAAAATATAAATGGCTGTTGTGGGAAAAAATATTTGTGGTGCTAGAGTGAGAGTTTTTTGTCTTGGCGATACACGAAAATTCAACACACAAACAGATAATTGAGATGACAATGGAGCAGCATATATTTTTATTTGAAAAATTCAAAGGGGGAAAAATCACGAGGCCTTGCCTAGATGAAAAGATTCCACTATATTGATGTTGGTTACAAAAGTTGACCTGTCCCTAACTTGAAGATGACAAAATTGTAATTGTATGGAGAGTTGGACACATTTTGCATGGGTACTCTGGAATTTGTAGTATCTGTGATTGAATGACATACATTAGAAGTCTGGTGGTGGTAGGTGTGAGAGGTTTCAACAAAAGTTTGGCAATGGAAGCAGCCAAGTGGTAGGATGGAGTGTTAACAACAGGAGGAGATCTGTTAGGTGTGGTGGATCACGAGATGAGATCCGGTGATAGCCAATAGATAGATAGAAAGTCTGACGACAATTGATGGGTGCGATGAGAATTGACGACTATGGTCGGTAGTTGGGAAGAGATCCTGTGGCACCAAACGAACAGACCAAAGTGTCGGTGGCTTGGAAGAGATTCGGCGTATTGGTATTGGCTGGAGCATGCAAAAGAGCTTTGTAATTTTCTCATCTCTTCCTCCTCTCCTCATGTGAAGAGTGAGGGTTTATTTATAATTTTTGAAAGTGACATGCTTAGTAAATATAGAGAAGATTTAGGATAAACTTAGAGTGTTCCATCTGATGGCTGATATCAATTCCCTTGATCATGGAGTATTTTGTTCATCTTTTAATTGCTTTAATGATATTTGAATTATGCAATATTGGGCTCGTTGGATTCGTCTCGTTGAGCCCCTCGATTCAATTATAAGCATGTCATATTTAGATATCGTTTGGTCTTCCAATTTTGTTCTTTGAAGCTTACAAGTATGTTTTGGTTCTTTGATTAAGGTTCATTTGAGCTCGTATTGGACTGAATTTAGTGTCATTGAGTTTGTCTCCCCTGATGTTTAATTTTGCTTTGCATTTGCTAAAATTGAGTTTGCATGATCCCAAATTTTACTTTGGAAGCTTCCAACTCATGTTTACATTGAGATTCATGCCCAATTAAAATGATTTTTTGATAACATATTTTTTCATATATGAGCATTATGAGGTCCATAAAATAAAAAATTTCAAATATAGCTTGAAATCACAAAATAAAAGAGTTTAATCATTGTGATTCAAAATTTTAGTTTTTATATTATTTTTATCTTAATATCGATTATTTATTCAAGAATATTGAAATTAAAAGACCAAATTTAATAAAAAAATAATTTGATCATAAAATTTTGATAATAATTTTAAAATTTATAAATTAAATTTACACTAGTACTATATATTTTAGTAGAAGAAAAATTATAATAATATTTTAATATTATTTATATTTCAATAAATTTAAAAATATATTATATTTATTTTAAAATTAGCACCTAATTTTTTTAATTTTAATATCTATGCAAAATGGGATATTATTATTTAAAAGTAATATGCGATCTTTGGAGCAATATATTCATATTTTTGCTCCGTATATCATGCAAAGCACCTTTGTCTTTTTCCTCAGTTCATGGCGTGCACGTTTACGAGAACGTATAAATCTGGCTGAAGCCGAACGCTTCTCCGGAAGCGCTTCAGGCAGCCGGAAATCCAAGCATAGATCGTGGAAGAAACAAAATCTGATCATCTGCTCATTGCTATTCTGATTTCGTTTCATTAGTTTCTTTTTCTTTCAAGAATTTCCGGTCTGCTCAATTTTACGGGAGAAAAAGCAAAGCTTTGATATTCTTTCTTGAAGGATGGAGGTAATGGAGATCGATCATGATTACAGTTTTGATATTTACAGCTCCTCATTTCTCGTCATTGTTCTCTGCTGGGAAATTGACCTCATAGGTTCGAAATTTTTCGATCGTCGATTTTTGTTACAGGGCGCTCGCCGCGTCGCCTTCGATGCGGCGAAGGAGATGCAATCGCCGCGCTTCCGCGCCATTATCCGCGCTACAAGTGGTCGCCGGAAGCGATCTCCAACTGACGTCAAGAGCTTTTCCCACGAATTGAACTCCAAGGGCGCCAGCCCGCTTCCGTTTCGGAAGCTCCGCGGTCTCACAAGGCCCGAAGTAAAATGCAGGAGAAGAACGATTGTTTTTTTGTTCAAGTTTGTGAAAATTCTTTGCCTAATCCTGCTAGTCCTCTAATTTTAATGGTAGGATATAATGACGGTGATCAAGTCCAAGTTTAAGCTTCTCAAAGAGGAGGTGAACGCGGAATTGGGTGTCTACGCTGGCGATTTGGTAGGAATTCTTGATAAAGCAACGGAGGAGCACCCGGAGTGGAGGGAGCCATTAGAGGATCTTCTCGTGATCTCCCAGAAATGCGCGGAGATGTCGCCGGACGAGTTCTGGGTAAAATGCGAGGGGATAGTTCAGAACCTGGATGACCGTCGGCATGAGTTGCCCATGGGAACCCTCAAGCAAGTACACACTCGGATCCTCTTCATCCTCACGAGGTGTACTCGCCTGTTGCAATTCCAGAAGGAAGGTGCGTACGGCGAAGAGGAGCATGTTCTTGGCCTCCACCAGTTCAGTGATCTTGGATTTTATCCGGACCAGACTGATTCTGGTCAGGCTCTTAAGAACCAAATCACTGCCAAGAATATCAAGGAAAAGATCATTAGGGCAAAAATTCAAGAGAAAAGGCTCAGCTTGTCTCATTTGAATCAATATTCAGCTGGAGGTGCTGACTCCCCGGCTAGCAGGGATCGAATTTCTTCCTGGAAGAAACTGCCGTCTGCTGCCGAGAAGAATCAGAAGAAGGGAGAAGCAGAGGAGGATGACTCCCAGCGGCTGGAAAAAACAAAGCTCGGTGTTGATGAGAAAATAGGAGTTTTCAAATCCTCTGAAAAGCCACCTAAAAGCTCAGCTGGTATAGTTAGTCAAGGAGCGAATTCTGAGAAGGTTTTTGATGGTAAAAGGTTGATGATATGTCGCATTTGTGACTTTGAGATACCAACCATGCATGCCGAAGGACACTTCAAAGTATGCACTATTGCTGATAGATGTGACTCCAAGGGATTATCAGTTGAGGAACGGCTTGTGAGAGTAGCTGAAATTCTTGAGAAAATTGTTGATCAATGCAAGCCAAAAGAGCATGAGAAAATTTCTAGAGTTGGATTTTCCTGTAAAAGTGGAGAGTCTCATGAGCTAACCTCTACAAACGTTGGGCAGTTCCTTCCAGATCCATCTACCTTGTGTGATATTGATGTTTTGAATTCTAGTGCTGGTATGCGTGATCAGGGGATCCTAGCATCTTCATCTGAAAGCATAAGCGCACAATCATCTTTGGTGACGCCTCGAACTAGCCTGCTTAACTTGCTATCAACTAGCAATATCTCATTTCTTGAGTTTGAAAATTTTCAGCAGGTATTTCTTCTGCATATAATTATTTTTATCTGAAATTGCATACGTTTGCAATTAAACTATAATTTCAATGTGATTGACCCATTCATATTAGATTAATTAATATCACTCTTCAATCAACTATTGTATGTGTTTTCATATGCTTGTTATGTGAATGGAAAAAGTGCACATTGAAGATAGGGCATGAGACAAAGACTTTGTTTGGGACGGCTTTCTTATTGCTTCTTAAAGCAGCTTTTTAGTAAAAAAAATTAAAAATGTTGTACTAAAAAGTGGCTTTAAGAAGCAAGAAGAAAGCCGTCCCAAATGAAGCCAAAGTTTCCTATTTCAATGCTTGAATTTGTAGAATATGATTGGAAGTACACCACAAAAATGTTGGCTCTAGATCAATTAATTTAATAAGTTTTCATAGTTATTAGTGTCAAATCCCAGTAGTGGAATCAAGATAAAATAATTTGTAAAGAAAATCTCGTTTTGTATATTTTCTTTGCACAAACTTTGTATGCTTAATTGTGAATTGTTTTACCATTTAAATTGCAGGGTGCATATTGTTCTTTAGGTAGGATCATCACAAACTGTCTATTCTTTGATAAAATCCTCATAAGCACCATTTGTTATCTTTTTATGTTTATTGATGTGATGATAGTTTGAAGTATGTTTATTTTATATTACAAGAACACATTTAGCTTTTTTCGTTGAATCATAGCTAAGCTTTCTCTTATGAATCACAAACATTAGGTATGATTTAAGAGCCTTTAGTCTGTGAAAGGGGTTCAAAAGTTTTGTATGAGGATTATTATAGAAGATTGAACGGAAATTGTTTTGCAATCAAAAGCTCCTTGTTCTCTCCCTTGATTTACCAAGCAAAGCACTCTCTAAATTCTCCTTTTGGGTTGTGTAACCCTTCTGGCTCTGCCCTCCATTGAATTGTGAACTTGTTTCTCCTCTCCCCACTCACTGTCTTCGGCTGTGTACCCACCCTTGGTTTTTGTACCCATTCTCTCAAGTTATTCTCCTAACCATATAACCATCAAGAAGAAGAGAAACCCTTCTGCTGCAACTACTTCGATTCTTATCTTCTTTTTATTTATGTTTGATAATTACCTTTTGAGTCTATGCAACTTGATGTAGGTAACACCTGCAAGGAAAGAAAACAGAGGAACAAGCAATACGAATTGTAGTAAAGGATTTCTATCTTGTGTATTGAGTAAAAAACTGCTGTTACAGCTTTCCAACCTTCTTCTTCTACCTTCAGCCGTTACTAAGAAAAGGGCTGAATCGTAAAGGCTATGCTAGTACGAAATAACTAATTTCAGAAACAAGAGTAGTGGGCACATGCTCTATAACAGACTAAGTGCTAATAATAAACTAAATGCTAATAAGCTGAAAGATAACTAATACTTAGCTAATTAATAATGCTCCGCATCACAACTGTTCTTCTGGTGTACTGCTCTTGGTTAATCTTTTTATAGTCGTTAATTTTTAATAAATGATATTGGATTATATCAAAACTTTCAATTGCAGATTCAAAGTTTGCTGAATCTTGTTCGTTGCATTGAGAGTGTAAGAAACTGTGATTACAACTCATTGGAGCACTTGAGTTCCTATTTAGAAAGCTTGAATACTGTTATTGGTAACAGACTGGTGGATGGCCTCATTATTGAGACTTTTGGAAGACGTATAGAGAAATTGCTGCAGTAAGTTTACCTGGCATCTACTTGTTATGTGTGCTGCAATGTTCTTAAATGCTCGAGTAAAAAAAAGAAGTAGTTATTATGAACTTTTGAAGTTAGTCAATTTGTCCTTGTGAACATTTTCTTGTTTTTATTAAATTTTTTTGGAAGTTTGTTAATTTGTGAGGTTTCCTCAAATATTGATGCTTGGTAGGGAAAAGTTCATACAACTTTGTGGTCAAATTGATGATGGATATAAGGATTCTTCTATGGATGAAGATGGTTCTATAGAAAGTGATAGTGGACGTAGCTCACGAACAAGCCCTTTGAGCACAAAGATTAAGGATCGGACATGCATTGAAGATTTTGAAATTATAAAACCAATCAGCCGAGGGGCATTTGGAAGAGTTTTTCTTGCAAAGAAAAGAATTACTGGGGACATTTTTGCAATCAAGGTAACTGGCAAATTCAGGTTTAGTGTCTTAATTTTCATTGAGTACATTATAGCACGTGCCAATCCTCCTTGCTATTAAACTGCAAATCTTTTTTTTTTGTTTTGCCAGCAAACTATTTAAAATGCCAAACCTTATGGCACGTTTTATGAGTTTTCATCTGAAACCTTAGTTATCATATAGGTATCATTAACTAGGATGAATAATTAATTTTAAACTGCAAATTCAGAGTGTGTTCAACCGCAAATCTGTTAATTTTTTGATGGAGAAATGTCTTGGAGTAGGAATTTGTTCTTATTTGAGGTCATGATTTTTGTTAATCTATTTGAATTTTTCATTCGCTCCCAAACTTCAGTTCGTATTCATACACCCCTATTAATATTTAGGCTTCATTTGGGACATCTTTCTTACTGTTTTCTGAAGCAGCTTTCTAGTAAAAAAAAATTCTAGTTTAAGAAATTTTTTGGAACATGCTGCTTTGGAAAGCAGTAAAAAAATCATCCCAAACAAACCGTTAGTGTATTTTTCATAGTAAGTATTTTCTCTATTTTCCATAAGCTTAATGATATGAAACTTAAAGTCTACATTCATAGAGAATGCAAAATGTTTGTGTTCCATCAATCATTTTGAATTTTAATTTCTAAAATTTGAATTTTGCATTTGTTTTGTTTTGTTTTAATTAGAAGTAGTTAATCAAAACCTACATTCATATCTATAAATCGTGCTTATGATAAACATGTTTGTGGGTGGATTCAGTCCTTGGATTGCTGGAAGTTTCTGTTCTTGTTATGTTTGTGTTTGCTTGCAATTCTTGCCGCTTCTTTTGTTTATAGGCTTTGCTGCAGTATTTCTGCTCAACTCCTAGTGCTATCATTTTTGCGACTTCTCTTGTTTATAGGATTTTCTTTGGTATTTCTGCTCAACCGCTAGTGCTGTCATTGCTATGCTTAACCAACCTGTAGGCTCTATTCCTATTTATGCAGTGATTCTCTGTTACTATCAATATGGATCTAGGCTTTGTTTGATATGGCTTAAAGTTGCTTTAAGAAGCAGTAAGAAAGTCGTCCCAAACGAAACCTTAGTGTCTATTCAACAAGTCTTCCCAATTTGTTCTATTTGTGGCTTTTCCATTAGGACATCTAGTTTTTTTCTCCTTTGTGGCTATTAATTGGGTTTCTGCAACTTCTACTCTTATGTAGATGTCGTGTTTCAGATAAGATGTATATCAAGGATTACTCATCATGATTTGCATTCGCCGAGGCTTATTAATGTCTCAAGGCATGCAAAAACAATCTATGATATGATTAACATTCTTAGTTTTTGTATGTAATCTCTTCTTCTTCCTCTATTGTAGGATTGAGATTCTTAATTTGTTGTTAGACATATAATAATGATTTTCTACTTTGAGTACTTCAATTTGATTTTGGAAAGTTTTAGTTTAATTGAAGCTCGCTAATATTTTAAATTAGTTTTTCAGTTTTGACTAAGGCTTCGTTTGAGACAGCTTTTTCAAGTAGCTTTCCAAAAATAAGAATGTTAATCACATCATAAATTATTTTTTGCAGCATGAGGCTTGTTCAACATTTAATTTTTTGCGTCTTCTTCTATTTTTTTTTTTTAATTCTTCCTCCTTTTTGCCTTTTTAATGTCTTGCTAAAATTAGTTATATATTTTTCAATTATATTTTGCATTTGATTCTTTCTCTAGAGTAATATATCAAATACCATGAGACATGTTATTTGAAGTATGCTGCATGATCACTTAATAGGGATTGAACATTGAGCATTGTGAATTTAGCTAACATTATTCGATCAACATAAGGATTTCGATTAACTTTGATGTCAGAGGAAGTCTTGGGCCCTTATAGCCATCTTGTAGATGGTGCTAAACTCTATTAGAGGTTGTCAATTTAGCACATTTCTCCTTTAGGAAAGGATTACTACTTGTTGCGTGCATTTTTCTTAACAAAATCTTAGGGGGTTGTTGAAGGCTAGAATATACGCGGCAATAAAGTTAGAACGCAGATAGAACTAATAAAGCCTTTGACTAGCTGGAAGATAAGCAATCTGTTGTATCCACGAGTAGAATCAATGAGTTACATATGTAGCGAGTTCATAAGCCAACACTGCCTTCTGCAGCTACGTTGACCTTTTCTGACTTGCCTTCTTGCTGAACTCGGTCATTGAAAGACCTTTTGAGTCAAACTATAGCGTTTAGGGTTTAGGGCTGTATGGATATCCAACACACAAACAAAAGAAAAAAGGAACACCATAAGTTTTATGTGAAAAATCCTGAAAAAGGAAAAATCACGGGGCCACGCCCAGTTAAAATGATTATACTAATATTTTATTGGACTAAAAGTTACTGACTCATTCTTGAAATTGAGGATGATTAGATTACAATAATCAGCCGTCGGGTTAAAATCCACTTACGAGCGGAGATCGCAAATTCAATGAGGTTTAGTGGTCGGGAAGAAATCTGGCTTCAATTGATGGCATGGCAGAAGTCTGGCATCAATCAACAGTTGGGTAGAAATGCGACATCAGTTGGCAGTTGGGCGGAAGTCCAGTGTCAGTCGACGATCGGGCAAAAATCCGGCGTCAGTCGACTGCCAGGTGGAAGTCCGGCGGTGGTCGAGGAGGAGTTTAGTGGCAAGAAAGGTCTCTTCCTTCTCTTCTTGCTCGGGGTTCCCTCTCTTGAGAAATGAGGAGTCTATTTATAGTTTTCTGATAGTGGCATGACTAGTAAATAGGAAGAAGATCAAGGGTAAATTGGGAGTGATTTGAATGGACGGCCAATATTGATTCCCTTGATCATGGACCGTTTACTAGACATTTGAATGTTTTAATAACATCAGAATTTATTGATCCTGGGCTTGTTGGATTCGCCTCGTCGAGCCGCTTGATTTGAATATAATCATGTCACGTTTGGAAACTATTTGGTAATCCAAATTATGGATTGAACCTTCCAAGTGTGCTTAGGATCTATGATTTGGACCCATTTGAGCTTGGAATGGGTCGAATTTGGTGTTGTTGGGTTCGTATTTTCGAGACATTCAGTTCGATTGTAAGTTTGCTAAAATCGGAGTTTAGAGGGTCCCAGATTTAATTTTTGAAGTTTCCAACTTGATTTTGCCTCAAGATTCGTGCTTGATCATGATAAATTTTTTTTACCATGAATCCGTCATCATATTCCCCTCTTCCCCTTTCAAAATCAGCACCTCGAACCTCGACGCTGAAATTCAGCACCTCGACGCTGATATTCTTCTCTTCTTTTGCCAAAATCTGCACTTCCCTCATATTCCCCTCTCCTGCCTAAAAATCAGCTCCCTGATGCTGAAAATCAGCACCTCGACGCTGAAAATCAACACCTCGACAATCATTTCCCATGCTCATCTCCTCTCTAGAAAGTAGCTCTAGAGGTGACATGTCGTCATCTCCCTCAAGGATCTGTACATCCTCATTCCTCCTCCCCCTTCGCGGGTTCGGATTTCCTCCTACGCCATGATCTCTGGTAGTCTCTCTTGCTTCCGACGTCGTCGGATTAGTCTTCATCTCCAATAAGTTCTTCATCATTTCTTCCATGGCCGTAAATTTGCCCTCCAACCTTTCATTGTTGGTGGTGATTTGATTTTGAAAATCAAAGAATCTTTCCTCCAAATCGATTTTCAATTGACCGACTTCGCCTTCCAAAACGTCCACCTTCTTTCCGGCCATCCTTCTTCTAACGGATCCCCAAAAATCTTCTTCTGGAGACGAGAATCTTGCTGAAATTTTAGAATTTCAGCCGCCGGTGGTCCCAAATCGATGCTCTGATACCAATTTGATAGGAAACACTTGGATTCCCAAGTGTTTCTCACCAAAACTGAAGTAGATCCGATGGAAACTGCTGTCCACAGTAGAAAAAACAACAAAAATATGAGAAAAACTGAGAGGAAACGTAGGAGAAATCGTAGGAAAACGAAGCAAACACTTTTATTCCACTAGACGATGAAAAACACTTGCAAGATACAACTTTCCTTCAATTCGAGAGGAAGGAAAAACTCTCCAAAGATCTCCGGCAAAGCCAAGAGCCCAAGAACACCAAACCCTAGATCTCCAAACAATTCAAATTCAAGATAATCCTCCCTTTCCTCCTAATCTCCTAATTAACCATAAAGGAGTTTTACAAAATGTCTGAACAGCCCCTCGCATTCAAAATTTCCCTCCCAAAACTCTTCCTTGGCCCCCGTCGGATTTGCTCGTTCCGCTCGGTTCCGCCTCCTGTAGGTGTGGACCGGTCCGGGTTGGACCAGTCCAGCCGGCCCCTCCTGGGCCGGCGTAACATTTTACTATGATACCATGAAACCACAAAAAGAATGCACCAACTACTAGAAATCTAATGATCTCTTTGTGGACTTGTCAGCTGGTTAGCTAATATCTGAAGGGTTTTATTGACTTACACTATATTTCAAATAGATATACATATTCTATACATTATAAACAAGTATTTAATAGGTATTATATAAGCAATATGGTTGGTGTTATTTTTGATTATAATACATGATTTGGAGGAATAATATTTATACTATTCAATAGATGCACATAGTATTTAACATGCATTTTTATATTAAGGACTATTATACATCAATGAATCAAGACAAAGCTATATGTACTAATTAATATTTCATAATCAACATTTAAAAGAGATCTAAGTTTAGCAATAAATGAGTATGAAATGACCTATAAAATATCTAATAATCTAGTATAAGTCTTCATTTGGGATAGCTTTTTACTGCTTTCTAAAACTATTTTCAATACAAAACTTTTTAAATTTAAAATTTTTGTACTGAAAAGTTGTTTTATAAAGCAATAAGAAAATTGTCCCCAACAATGCCTAAGGTTTTATTTGGGACGGCTTTCTTACTGCTTCTCAAAGCAGTTTTTAGTAAAAAAAATTAAATTTAAAAAAAAAAATGTTTTAAGAAGCAATAAAAAAGTCGTCCCAAACAAAGCCTATGTATCAAAAATAATTTCTATAACAAAGGACACATTTATCCTCTAATAATTAGTTGTTAAGGTAATACAAAATTTCAAAGTTAATCGTAATAATCAACTCAAAGATTAAGAACCATAAATCAATTGCACAAACACCCATAAGCATTGAAAATCAGCTTCGAACAAAGTACAATTATAATTGATCCAATTAATTTTTATTATTATAGAATGACAATTATAATATTTATCTTAATTTTATAACCAAACCTAAATTAATTCAAATCAAATCAAATCTTAAGTCTAAATTAAAAAGAAAATAAAAAAGTCTAAATTTAAAATAATTAACATAACTACCTATAAAACCTATCATAAAATAGTGAGGAATAAATATTTTATTAGCAACAGATTAAGAAGAAAAAACAAAACAATCTCGCTGCCTTATGGTTAAAGAGGAAGAAGTGGAGAAGGGAGAGTTACAGAGGGCGTGTGGGAGATATCACAGATGTTGAGGAAGGGATGAAACGAGAGCTAGCTCTCAGTTGTAAGAGAAAAAAAAGACAAGGAGAACACTTGCAGGTGCCGCTCGGTCAACAGATAAAGAAGACGAGGATGAGATTTGTCGGTTGCTAAGAAGAGAAATGAAGAGGAGTGGAATGCCCTAGCTTTGTGCATCTTTAAATTAAGAGTGGAGGAAGCAACGAGCTCAGGATTTATGTGATATCTGCTTCGAGAAAGGTAGGGCGAAGGGTTTCGAGCGGCTAGTAGCAGGGTTTCGGGTCTAAGTTTGGGACTGGTCATGATCGCTACACTTGCTTCATTCAGGACATGGCTTATGATTCCCATAAGAAGTTCCATTTTTGCTAGCGAATTGAAGATAGTTGGCTGATGATGGATGATGCTCGATGATAAAAAGAATGCTTCTTGTCGCTGAGTTGTTTATCCCCTCTAGGTCCTTTTTTTTCAATAAAACCCTTTCTTTATCTATTTGAGTTCGGAATTCTTAAGCTAAGCTGAGTGTAAATGTGGGCTCCGAAAATTCGGCCTCGGCCTCCGCTCGCTTTTCTTATTCGGCGAGGGAGTTTTAACGAACTAAGTTCCGAGGTAAATTTTGGAAGGCAGATGGGTTTGTAGATAAGACACTACCCAGAGATTTCGCCCTCATTTTGTGAGGACTTTATGATCTGAGTTCTGGTTTCCTATAGGCGCAAGCCCCTATAGTTAATTACCCCTCCCGATAACAAGAGAGAACTTTCAATTAAGGCTAGTCATCAATCAGATACGTAGAGATACGTGTTATCTGGAGATCTATAAATAGGGAGTAGATTGCTTAATAAAATTCAAGCTTTTCCCTCTCAAATCCTCGTTCTTAACAAATATTCAACTTAAAAGGATTTTGTTGAATGATCGTGGGATCCAAAAACAACCCATTTTGGTAGGGATCCTTTACCATATGAATTAAAGATTCTAACCATTGGATCGATCCTCTTATTTTTCTTAGATTGCAACCCATGGGCCTCCTCTTCTCTATTTGTTGGCCTTTGTTTGAAACTTTTTTCATATTTTGTAAATAGTTTTGTTTTATTTTCATTGTAAGATTATCAGAGAAGTTTATATATAAGTCCGTAGTTTGTACAGATTCAAGCTATAAAATTAAAAATAGCATTTTCTATTTTTCTACTTTTCTTCTTGGCATAAGAGTGATGTTAGGATTTTCCTTTTTCCATTTTTTTTTCATTTTTCTTTCCATCTTTGTTCTTTTCTTAATCATAGGGATTCTTCCTTCTTTTTATTATGTATGGTTTATTTGACTTCCCTTTCGAAAAACAACCATCATGAATTGTGAAAATCAGATTTAGGAAGAATTTCAGGTGCTATTCACCTCATATCGTTTGTGTGAGAGAAACTATTTACGGTGGCCCCAAATTGTGAAACTCTTTTTAAAAGAAAAGAAAAAGATTCATCAGTTCGTAGATTCTCCACTGGAGCTGAAGGGCTCAAAATTTATACTTTGAGATGAAGCAGATTTCATGATTATGACATGATTATGGAATGCCATAGCCCATAATATCTCAAATCAGTTCACACTATCAGATTTACCAAATTAAATTTATACAGGCTTACCTAAATCCAAATTAAATGTCATACTATAGTAAGTAATTAAATTTTCTAGCTAATCACAACTTGATGTGGCGTATCACTTCTTAATTTAGTTCACCCTACTGTTGATAATCCTACACGTGGCTTGAGGCATGATTTGCAACATTTGACATGCTAGTTTGTTGGCATGCATAGCTGTAAGAACTGAGTAAATTATGAATTTCATGCTTTCTAGGACATTCCTGCGCATTCACCTTTGGAAGTCTTCAGAATCAGGATGTACTCTCCTGAATATCCCACTAATTGAGTTTGTCTCTTATTTAACTGAAGACTAAGTTTGAAGAGTTTTTTGACTGCATATAGAAGTTTCATTTTCGTTACTAATGTCCTATAAACTTGAAATAGGTTCTTAAAAAGGCTGATATGATTCGTAAGAATGCAGTTGAAAGTATTTTGGCTGAACGTAACATTCTAATTTCAGCTCGAAATCCCTTTGTGGTAAGCATATTTTCCAGAACTGATCATGCAAGCTTTCTTTTGATCCAATTGTTAGAAAGCATTTTAGATCTTAACTTTGGTTGTTATAAACAGGTGCGGTTTTATTATTCCTTCACATCTAGGGAAAACCTTTATTTGGTGATGGAATACCTGAATGGTGGAGATCTTTATTCTCTATTGAGAAATTTAGGTTGTTTAGGCGAAGATATGGCTCGGTTATACATTGCTGAAGTAGTAAGCAAAAAAGCTCTTGTGAAAAATGGTTGGATCCAGAATTTATCACAGAAAAAGCTCAATTTCATGCTTATTTGAATTTGATATTTCACTTATGCAGGTTCTTGCACTGGAATACTTGCATTCGTTGAATGTCATTCATCGGGATCTTAAACCAGACAATCTATTAATAGCTCGAGATGGCCATATAAAGGTAAGGATCCCACTACTTCAAATCAACATGTGTTAACTATCGCACCATACAAACATCTATGCTAAAAAAGGTGACGACTTAGGCATAAATTATTATTTGATTGAGTTATTCACATTTTGTACTCATAATAAAGCTGTAATGTGAGGGTCTAGCTTTAACAGGGTTTACAATTTTTTTGTCTTGGGCCTAGGTAAATCATGTTTAGTTTCTTGGCCTAACTGAAATTGCTAAACCCAACCCAACATGAAAATCCTTTGGGCTAGTTCTACCGAACCGATGAATCATACTCTTCTCTTCTTTATTAGTATGACAAAGAATCATGGAAGGAAATTTTATACACCATGGATAATCTCTACGCAGGTTCTCGTTCTTTCAAACCCCTCTTCACTAGCCAACTTTCATGAATTGGGGTGATTGCTCTGCCTCTGCCTTCACTGCTGGTTTCTTATTTCGGCTGCATTATGTTGAGTCTTGATGTTGCTCACTGGTCTTCCCCACCATCCTTGCTGCCATTTGGTCATATTTTAGTTTCTGCCATTTTCTTCTCTTAGCACATCTCTGGCCTCCTTTGTCGAGTTCATCTTTTGTTTTTCCTCATCTCCTTTGAATTGATATAGTTGATCGGTTGCCACATTTTACCATAGATTGTCATTGATCTCCTGACAAGAATGACCGAGAAGGCTATTTTAGGCATATACAGTAGGGAAAAGTAACTGAGAAAGTGATTCAAGAGTTTAGAGCTCCATTAGTTGCACTTATGAATCCTAAGCGTGAACCGGTTCCTAAGTACAGTAACTTGCTCAGCTTGAATCACCTCAGTCCTGGGATCTTAACCCGAATTTCTGCCAAAGGTTAGGATTATTAATCAAATCCCACAAAAATATAAGTTTGGATTGGCTGCCTCTGCGTTGATGATAAGATTATTTGGTTCAGACATCAATATTATTAGATGTCATTGCTATTTTTAACTGTTATATGATTGTACCATCTAATTTTATTTAAAGATATCAACATTATCGAGATGACAATTGTTTGGTTCAGTGCCATCCATACAATTTCAGTACACCCGCAATGACATTACTATCTTATCATAAACTGCTTCTATATTATTACAAAGCAAGAAAACTATGACAAAAATGATAAGGTAAGGCAAGGTGCTTGTTATTTATCCATCATAGACAAGAATGATATAAAAAATATATAAAACTCTAACAACAGCCATAAGCAAGAAAACTATGATAGTTACAAAGCAACAGTTGAAGCAGTGGGGAAGCATGCGACGTTGTGGATTGCAAATCGATGCAATAAATCTTCTCCTTTATCATTTCTCCCTGCCGCCAGGCAATCTCAACCGACTTTCTTAAACTACATTTTCCTTTAAAGCCAACACTGGAGATTTCAATCACTTGTCAACGTTGGTTGATGCCACTCTTTTGAGCAACTTCTGCGTTCTATCCATCAAAAGATTGAATATTGTTGCAATGCCTCTTGTTGAGAATACCACCTAGTGTAGGCCAATGCCACTTTCACAGCACTCTTAAAAGTTCCTCGCCACACGCCTATGGACATAAACAGTTCATCTTTGGTAGTAGTAGTTTTTTCTAAGACAAATCATTCTCTTATTGATAAAATGTTTGTTAGAAGTGAAAAAGGTGAACAAAGAAGTGTGATAAGGTGAGGCAAGGTGCTAAGAAACATATCAAATATAGCAGTTGCAAGAACTCTATTTTTTATATGTCACAACATTAGATGCTATCGGAAACATGCGGAATTTATATGCCATTTAAATGGGACATATTTGTTGTTTATAAAATATTATTTAAGGATGTTAGTGAACAAGCATCGAACATTTTTAAATATCATAATATAGTATTATATATGTCATTGAGCCAAAGAGCACCTAAATCACAAGGGTTGTCACATCCCATTTTAATCCATTTTAATCAATCATGAGACATAACAAGGGCAAATAATCTAGTCAGACACATTTCGCACTAACATTCATCATGACTTTACGAATCATAATCGAATGTCTTAATCTATCTCGATTGTCGCAAAATGTACATTACACTTCACAATTATCTAATGAATCCATCAAAAACATTGATACAAAAATATTTATAAAGAAAATTGTCAATATAGACTATAGATGTTCAAAATGACTTCATGCATAAATTTATGCGTGCTAAAATTTTTTAATTTACATCATAGATACCTTTCTTTTACAATACGCTCAAACTACATCTTCTGTCATTTTCCTAAAATCATAATTATAATATCTGATAAGTTCAATGCTTAGTAAGATAAGTAATTCTAATATAAAATTTAAACATACAAGAAAAACATAATGTGTAATATCAATTATATGAATTGATGTGAGCATTAATATTCCTAAAAATAATTAACTTAGTACAATAGACTCAATTATAAGCAATAAACAAGAATATCCATGAGAAAATGAAGTACATCTATCAATCGTCAAATCCTTTAATGAACCATGCTGGTCAATTGCTTATATAAAAACAGTTGTTTTAATTTCATTTTCTTTCTCATTCTTTTTAATCATTATGTTTAAAATAACATATAATATTAAGCTTTCGACACATTTATATCATTAGGTTTTAACTTGTTTGTCGGCTATACTAATTATTAATAAAATTGGGTCAATCCAACTTTTTTTTTTAATGATCCTAATGAGGCCCATCTCGTTAGAAATTTTAGCTCTTCATGCATAAATCATTATAGTTTGCCATACTATTCTACATAATATGCCTTTCAATGGCTTTCTTTACTTTTGATATCATTTTTATAAACATTTAATATTATTTAGCTTTTTTTCCAAATGCTGACATCAATCATCTATCTTATTATATTTATATTTGTATATATCTATAATGAGTTTTACTTAGATACATTGAATTTGGAAGGTATGCATCAACCCATAAAAGTCTAATAAATTTTAAAGGAGTCCTCACTCTAAAAAACCAACGATGTATCTAGTTAAATAAAAAGGGTTCTACTTGCCTATATATCGATTGCAAATGTGCATACACATTTTGTATCTATATCAAGTACTTAGTAGATATGTTATTATAAATAAGAAAAGTTCTTTAAGATTTGATTCCTTCTACTATCTACATGGCTAAACTATTAGAAAGAAAGAAGAGAGAGCTCGAAACAAAGAAAGGGGGAAATAGAGAGAGAAAGAGAGAGAAGAAGAAAGAGCGAGAAAAAGGGACAACTAATGGGGCTATTTGGTATGGGATTGGATTTAACTTTAGTGGGATTTAGTAAATCTTGTAAATCCGGATTTATTAAATCCGGGGGTATTAAATCCTGAAAACCATTTGGTATGACATATGTTAAATCCTGATATATCCTTAGAAACTGTTTGGCAATGTAATCCAGTATTTAAGGTGATTGGTTCACTTAGAAATTAAATTATTGTGCTTTGAATTTAATTTGCTTGTTAACAACAAGTTACTTATCAACTTTAATTGTAATTACATTTAATAAGTTGTACTGATAAATAATATAATTAGAAGCTAGCTTAATTATTATTAATTATCAAATTAGTTATATAGGTGTTAATTATCAAATTATTTTTTATTACTAATTATTTAATTTAGTGTTTAGTAAATCCTAGTTAATTAGTTATTTAAGTATTAAATTAATTTAATGACAATTACACTACTAATAATTATAATAACCAACAAATCATAAATATGAATTAGATTAATTTAATGATAATTATACTACTATTTATTTAATTAAGCTAAATTAGATTACTTATTATATTACTAATTAATCATACTAAATTTTTAATTTCTAATTATACTTATAGTAATCTAATTAATTAGTTAAATGTTATATTACTAATTAAATATTTAATTAATCAATTAAGTATTCCATAACAAACTAATTATTTAATTACTATTTATATAACTAATTATCTAATTAATTATTTATATTTTAAATTAAATTAATTAAAATAGTTCCTAATTAAAAGTAAGGAATTCTTCTCTGTCATTACCTCAAAGGATTGTTTCCTTACGCCTGAATATGATTTGCTCCTCTTTTCGACATCATCGTTGTTGTTCGACTTCGCCTCCTTTGACCTGTTCGATGTTGTCTGCACGAGTCATTAGCTTCTTCTCCTCCTTCGATGACGTTCCTTCTGGTTGGACGGGAAGTCACGATAGTTTGACAATGTTGGATCGAAAGTAACGACAGGAGCTTGCTCGCTGCGAAGGTAACGATCTTTCACCCATTTAGCATGCTTCACACCAGATACTCGACAACATGGGCATGAGGGACATGGATTTATAGGACGCTCTAAAACTTTGTGGCAAGATTTACCATAAATCTAGCATAAATCTGATACCAAACAACCCCAAAGAGTGAGAAAGAGAGAGATAGAGAGAGCGAATGGCAATAAGCTTTGAGCCAAGTTTCACGAGTTCATATTCTTTTCTACATAATGTTGTTCTTGTTAATGCCGTCTCCAATTAGCTCCCTGTGTGATTTCCTTGTGTCCACACATCGCATTTCACGTCGATTTGTTCTTTAACGGGCTCCTGTGTGGGACTCTCTCAGTTCTTGGTTATCTAGGGCTTCAAAATTCGGGTGAAAGCATGCTAGGAAAGAGAGCTATTGAGAGTAGGAGCAAGATAGAGATATCAAAAAGGATAGTGTGGTTGGTCATGTGTGTGGAGAACAAGAGAGTGAGGGACAAGGTTAGGTTGTTTTTTAGGGGATATTTTGTTTCAAAAGAGCCGGACATCTGACTTTAATATGGGGATGTGCTAAGAGACCGAGAGGGGAATGGATGAAGAGAACGGGGGATGTGCGCTTAGGTAGAAGGTAGAGGTTTTTTTACTTTTTATAATAATAATAATAATAATAATAATATAATAATAATAATAATAATAATAATAATAATAATAATAATAATAATAATAATGATGATGATGATGATTTTTTTGGCAAAATTTTTGTTGCTCTTGCAAATCAAAATTGTATCGTCACCTCGGGCATGGGCGAAAGTTTTGATTTTTCTTCCCGTGGTGACCCAAGCAATATGGGTATTGATCTTAACTATTTCAGCTGTTCAAAATACATCAACTTTACCTTTTTTTTGAATGGGCAATGCGCTGGCCATTTTGACTTTTGGGCAATGCATTTTGGATAGCATTTGCATAAAATTGTGTTATTAGCTCACTCTTTTCACTATATTCAATTGGGTCGATCTCAGAGTACTTATTGAGGTCAACTTGCATAAATAAGATTTATTTTATACAATTGAGATAATGAGCATGCATGTAATATTCTTGCTACCGTGCATATCATCTTAAAATTGATGAATTTAACAACAATTAATCATAACAAAGTTAGTTATGTAATATTTCGTAATGAACATTAAGTAAGATATACTGATAACAGAGATGCGCAACAATAACTGAATGTTGAAAGACATGCTTGATAACTTACAAAATATATAAGAAACTTATTACAAGCATTAGGGATAATGCCGCTAACAGACAAATGTACATTTATCATTCAATAAAATAATTTTACTTACCTATGTTGAGCCGGGATATGAATGTCCAACACTTATGCTTTGTTTGGGACGATTTTTTTACTGCTTTTTAAAGCAATTTTCTGATACAAAGTTTTCTTGAACTAAAAATTTTTGTACTAAAAAGTTGCTTTAGAAAGCATCAAGAAAGCCGCCCTAAACGAAATCGTAGTTGAGATCCAAAGGGACAACACAAAAGGAGGGCCAACACCAACTGTTTAAATCACACCTAATATGTATAGGCCAATGCATGAATTGAGTTACAATAGCCAAGTATTATCATGCCAAAATAATATAGAATTAGGAAAATAAATATTGGTTACTTGATAGAAAATTTAGATTAAAGTCATTCTAACTTAATTTATGATTGACTTGGCAACCATTAATTAATTATTAATTACTCACATACTATTTATTTTAATAAATAATAAATGGTTTATGAACTTACAGATATAGTGGGTGAAGTTGAAAGAAGTGGTATCGGCTATCCTATATTGCCAAGGAGAAAGAGGGTGAGCGATGGCTTCGCTTATTACAAGGAAGGAGGAAGGAAGGAGACTGCAACTAGCTGTAATTACTAGGGCAAAATGAGGCCAAGAAGGCTTCAAAGGAGAAGACAATAACGATCACTGTTGAAGGAGGAAATGAGAGCGGGAAGGATCTATTGAAGAGGCTGGTTGGCTCAAGGGGAAAGATTACCTATTGCCCTAGCTCTTTGTCCCGTTATATGGCAAAGAGAGGCAGTTGGGGAGCAAAATAATTCTGCACTGATTGGTGGCTGAGAGGGGTTTCGTGTGATTCGTGTGAAGGGAAGGGTGAAGGCAGTTGTGTTTTGCTATGAGCGGTTTGAATCAGGAGTTATGGGCCAGTTTAGCTCGTCCTATATCTATCTTGTTCGCTATAGATGTGCTCTTGCTTGGAAATTTGGTTAGAGGAAATTATTGCTATGGTATGTTTTAACATCCAATCATTCATGCATAGGAGCATAGCAATCACTTTTCTAGCCATTCTGAAATTGTCATCCATGTTAATTTCTTCTGAATTGCCAGCCTCTTCAATTTCCATTAAAATCTTCTAGGAATGTTATCTAAACTCTTCTCCATATTCTGCTCCTTTATGGATATTGCCGCCTGCCTGTGCCCTTCAACATGGTTGCCGGCCTAAGCTCACTTGCTGCTATCAATTGCTGGCTCTGATTGTGGGCGATTTTTACTCACACTGTCCATTATTGTTGGAGTTCTCACTTCTTATCGCAGGATACTGTTCATTTATTTTGGTAAATATTTTGTTTTGATTCTTATAATGTTTCAATAATTAACATTGTCCTAACCATGGCTAATAGTAATCGAGTAGAAAGTTATAAGAGAAAACTTGCGGGTTGTGCGTGTCAATATAAGATGGGGTTTTAACTGGGAATATGGTATTGATATATTCTCAAAAGATTATCTTGATCGAGCACGAATCTCGAGGCAAAATCAAGCCGAAAACTTAAAAAATTAAATCCGGGAGCACCTGAACTCCAATTTCAACGAGCTTATAATCAAACTGAGCGTCTCGGAAATACGAACCCAACGATACCAAATTCAACTCAATCCGAGCCCAAATGAGCCCAAATCAAGCACCCGAAGTTCTGTTGGAAAGTTCATACCACAATTTGAGTTACCAAACGGTCTCCGATTTTAACAAGCTTATAATCGAATCGAACGGCTCGACGAGGCGAATCCAACGAGCCCAAGATCGCCAAATTCCGACATCATTAAGACCTTCAAATGTCTGACAAACGGTGCACGATCAAGGGATTCAATATCAACCATCCATTCGACCACTCCCTATTTGCCCTTGATCTCACACCTATTTACGAGCTATGCCACTCTAGAAAATCTATAAATAGACCCCTCATTTCTCATGAGAGAGGACCCAAGCAAGAAGAAGTAGATAAGAAGAAGAGAAGAAGAGAAGAGAAGGATAGGAGGGAATAGCTTAATTCTGCCGGAATTCTGCCGGACACCCGGGTGACGCCGGAATTCTTCCTAAGTAACGTCGAAGTTCTGCTTGACACCGGAATTCAGTCCAACTTCCAGACGACACCTAAATTCTGCCCAATCTCCTTAGTGACACCGGAACTCTGCTCAACATTGTAACTGAACCTCAATTTAGAAGAGATTCATTGTAATCTGATCGTCCTAACTTTGTGGATGAGTCAGCCTCTTGTATCTCAAACAAAACACTAGTGGAACTATTTCAACTGGACGCGTAAAAATCCTGGTGTTCGCATTTATTTTCTGCTTATGTGCTGGATATTCGTGCAACGCTCAGACGGAAATTTACTAACTCTATTGCCGCGTATACTCTAGCTCGCAACAGGTATGATTTAGGGTTTTGTTGATATGTGAAACCTCCAGAAGAAAGTTTTATATTTTCTGTTGGCTTCTTAGAAGTAATTGATCTTTCAATGGCTATTAGCATTCTTCTCTGTTATTTAAGTTTTGATAAGTTTTTAAACTTTAATTCTCATGCTTAATCTCTTATTCCACAGCTGACTGATTTTGGGCTCTCTAAAGTTGGTCTTATCAACAGCACTGATGACTTATCCGGCCCCGATGTTAGTGGTGCTGTAATTTTGGATCCTGCACCAACACCAACACCAACATCTCAACGAGCAGAAAAAAGAGAGCAAAGGCGAAAACAATCTGCTGTTGGGACTCCTGATTACTTGGCACCAGAGATACTTCTTGGAATGGCACATGGTTTGTCATCTATTTTGAATTAATTTCTCCTTCAGTGATCTTCTTAGTTTTCTTTCACTTCGTATCATTTCAAATGATGATGATGATCATCATTAGCCTTATCCCAACTATTTGGGATATGACTTTTTGATATTCAAATTACAGGCCCAAATGCAGATTGGTGGTCAGTTGGAGTTATTCTTTTTGAAATGCTTGTAGGTATTCCACCATTTAATGCTGAACACCCACAGGTATGCTACTGCAAGTTTAATGTTATATCAAGTATTGTTGCTGATTTTCCTTTTTTTTTTTCCGTTAGACGTCCCACCATTTTTTCCTTTTTAAAGGAATGCTACAATTTTGGTGAAAATTTTACATCGAATCAAAATGATAAAAAGAAAAATATATATATATTAAGTGATCAAAACCACAGACCACATGAACCAATTTAAGCTGAATTAGTTCAGCAATGTAATGGGTGTAAGAATTGTTTAAAACTTATTAACTGAACTATTTGATAGCAATTATGGAATGGAACCATTGCCAAAATCCAAAAAATAAATCCTATTATGAAGGAATGATTGGAGGAGAGAATTCATGAAACTCATCCTAAAATTTTTTTAGCATATATTTGAATATTTCATGGATCAAACATTGCCCTAGCAATATTTATTTGTCTTGCTGCTATGAAATTTATTGTTTTAGTTCACCATATTTAATTTCTCATGATATAAAATATAATTAAAGCAACTATGGGCAACCAAAGGTAACTATATTTTGGTTACACAGAATCATATAGGATAAAATTGATTTGGACAATGGCCTGTTGGCCTATAGAAATCTAAGGCACCGTGGTGATAGGGATATATTATGCACAAATAGAATAGATTCAAAGGTATAGTATGTCACAATATAGTCAACCTGGAGTATAACAGTGAAGAAGAATCTGAATGGGCATATTTCTTAGTAACACTCATCCCGAAATATTTCTATTAGAACCAGATGTGTAGGAAATAGTCCATCTAGAATATCCCATTACAAAACACTTTTCAGTGTTAACAATTTATCTACTAATTTTCTATTTGGAAGCATATGCATAATATATCAAAGAAATATAGAACTCTACTAAATTTTTTAATAAAGTTACATACTCAAAAATTTGTATGTATAGCCTCCTACTCTGACTTCTATGCACTGTCAAAATATATGTACACAAAAGTGCAATCAATCTCTTACCTAGAGCCTTGCGGACTTCTTTCCTTTTCCTGCAGTACAATCACTGTTAATAAGCTAGAGCTCAATGATATACACAAGCATAATATAAGAAATAGGAAACATAACATCTGCAGTCAATTTTAAATAGTCTTGGGGTATTTATAAGAATCATGAAATGCAAGAAATCAATGCATAATAATGCTAATTACTCTATGTGTTCATTACTTTCCACAACTCTTATTCTATTTACTTCTCAATACTTTAGGCAAATGATATGATGATTATAGGCTTTTGCACACTTACAGCTCTCTAATTCAAGGTTAGGTCCATATTTTCAACTTTTAGAATTGAGGACAGGTCTCTCATTAAAGGTTGGGTTTGAATTCTTAACCCTCTGTACGATTTCCCTAAGGCTTATTGATGAGGACATCGACAGACGTTTTCGACTAGTATATCAGCGCAGGAGGCGCAGATCGATGGCCACGATTCACAGTCTTTATTTTGATATTATGTATTATTTGATATTACCGTTTGTACCCTTACTTTTATTTGTCTTGAGTAGTAGCCCCAGGGGCATGCACGTCATTGTATTTTGTTTTTCTTTAGGCCTATATATTATGACATCTTCTTTTGTATGAGGATTGATAAATTATTGAATGAAAAGTTTATTTCACTTGGTGATCTCTTAGAGAGTGCCTTAGAGGAGAAAGATCTCTTTGTGAGTTCTAAGTTTTTCCCAAGATTTCTTTGTGAGATTTGGGGGAAGCACTTGAGGTGAGTGAATCCTTGGCTCATCAAATTTCTATTCTTTTTTTTTTATTGAAGTGAATTCCCCCCTCCCCATAAGCCTTTGCCGCCGCACTCATTGGGTCGTCCCCCCCCAACACCTTAGCCCCATCCACTCCTCTAGCCGCCGGCCTCCCTCCTTGGGATTTCAAATTTGAAATTTTCCCAAGGGACATAAATGACTTTCCTAAAATAACTCCTTGATTTTAGGCAATCTTCTTAATTGAATTTCAATCCAAATTTGAAATTCAAATTTATTCCAATTGTTTGCCCTTATCTTAGGAAACTTTCCCCACATAGGAATTCTGAAATTTCAGATTTTCCTCAAAATCTGTGATTAAGTTTGTGGGCCACATTTAATTAAAACTCAAGCCCCTCTCTCTTATACATGTGGCCGACCCCTTAATGGGCTTTCCCCTCTCCCAAAATTACATTAATTGCTCCACAAATTCAGCCCCAAATTCCTCCCCATTGCCGCCCCTCTTCCCCCCCTTGGATTAATTTGAATTTCAAATTAAATCCCTCCCCAAACCACTAAAATCGGAAACTATTTCAGATTTTCTGCAAATAACTTTTGGTCTCTCACCTAGCCGATCCCATCTAACTCTTCACGCCGGCCAAACATCCTCCTCCCTCCAAGCCGCCACTTCCCCTTTCCCTTTCTTTCCATTGGGACTACTTCATCTCTCGGAAAGGATGCATGGCAGATCCGGAAATTGATCACAGTTTCGCATACAACGAGCAAGGGGAGATCGACATTTTTCTCTCCCCTTTCTACGAACCGGATTGGGAGTACGGCGTCACTGTTGAACGCTACGTCAACCGGATTGTGTATTGCCTTGCCGGTACCATTGAGCTTCAACGACCAAGGACCCTGTGGTACCTCATTGGACGTTCCGTGCCGCCTCCATCTCCGGCTACCTTCCCAACAACGACGTTCCTCGTCTCGTCCTTCCTAGTGGTCACTTCATTTCTAGTGTGGAAGATCTTCCTCCGCTCAACCTAGATCCATAGAGAGAGAGTAGATCCTCAAGGTGAACATCTCATTATTAATTTTTGGATTTGTGTTACAAGCTTTTACATTACTTCGCCTTTGTATTTGATTGAGAGTGTCTTGGTTATTCTTCATGCATTTCTTTGCCTAAGCAAGTGGAAGACCGCGAATTCTTGTAACTTACTTTGAATTGACGCATAACTTTATAAAGGTGAACATCTATTAAATTCTCTTATTAATCTTTTGTAACTCCAAGCATGTATCACATCACTTACCTTGTAAGGTCTTTCGCCTTTACTTGTGTGAGTCTATCCTCCATATATGACTTGTCTCATTTATTTTTCATAAACATTCAGATGTTTATAACTTACATATGACTTGTCATTTTGTAGAATCTCATTTCAGTAGGTAGTGTTTATCAACGAATTCAAATAACCACTAATTATATCAATTGCACCAGTAATAAAACATGCTTAATATAAAATAATTGCTACCACAATTACATTAGTATATAAAAATGTTCTTATTTTCTACACTACAAATTGTATATCTCACCTCATTATGAATTTATTCTCCTACAATACCCTGCCTTTTTTTTCTGTTTAACCTAAAGCATACATTTCTTTATTTGTACATGTTTGCAATTAAAATGCAGGAAATATGAAAATTTTACAAAATTTACCTCAGTTGCACTCTTCATTCAACTCTAAATTTCCTTTTCTCTCCTAAACCTCTTTCCCTACGTCTCTTTCTTTTTTTTTCTCTTTTAAATCAGCAAATAGCCACCGCTGAATTCAGCAAACAGCCGCTCTTTCCTCTCTATTTCCTTACTGAATTCCAGCAATACTCTTTATTTCTTCACTGAATTCCAGTAATACTGATTTCAGCAAACAACTACAACCCTTAATTGATTTTTCCCGTACCTTTTTGTTTTCTGTTCTGTTTTCTGAAATTTCTTCCCAGCTCACTGCCTTGTTTCCGTCTCCCAGCTACGCCTGCTCTCTGTTCGAACTCTAGAGAATTGGGTGGGGAATAAAATACTTTTAAGGGTGAGTGTGGGCTCCGAAAATTTCGGCCCCGGCCTCCGCCCGCGTTGCTTTTTCTTCAGGGGAGTTTTAACGAATTAAGTTCCGGGATAAATTTTGGAAGGCAGATAGGTTTGTAGATAAGACACTACCCAGAGATTTCACCCTCATTTTGCCAAGACTTTATGATCTGAGTTCTGGTTTCCTATAGGCGCAAGCCCCTATAGTTAATTACCCCTCCCAATCATGAGAGAGAACTTTCGATTAAGGCTAGTCGTCAATCAGATATGTAGAAATACGTATTATCTGACATATAGTAACAACATGGGTTTGGATATTAGAAGTTTGAGCATTTTATATTTAAAATAGAAATTTTCACCATCTTGCACTTAAAGCGGATGGTGGGGGAATGGATGATGGACCCGATCAAGATCCCATGGTTCCGTCGTCCCGGGCCATCATGGTCCCTGGTCTACTTAGTCAGAGGAGGTAGTCGACCTAACCTGACAGAAGGATCCTTGTTGGCAGCCATGTGTTGCTTCATCCAAGGAGACCTTGTAGACCTGAGGCAAGTATTTGTCTAAGGGGACAAATTTGAATCCACCTTAGCTAATATAGGGCTTTATGACCTATCGATCATATCCTATTTATTCATATCTCAAGGATCTGATATCACTAAGGTACGTATTGGCTCTGGCCATAACCACTATTTCGTGGTGCCATTTGGCGGCAAAACCACTCGGTTCAGAGGGCCCCGGGTCATAACCGTTTATTCTGCGGTGCCATTTGGCGGCAAAACCGCTGGTCAGAGGACACGTGCCACGTCCTTACTGGCAGGAGATTATTTGAGAATGATCTTAGTGATATTTTCGACTAGGCATTAGCTCTATGTGAGCTGAAGTAATCTTCATATTTGTCCACCTTGGCAAACTGTTGCGAAGTGTGGGTGGATGAATTTTGCTTTAAGTGTTTTGTGGTTGGATTTAAATATTAAATATTTTTTAATTTTTGGATTTTTTATGATCTTTGGAATTTTGGATTTTCGGGCACTTGGAGTGGCATTTGAAAGTATTTGGAGTCAAACCCTCCGGTTGAGATTTGCATTTAACACGGCTCTCATCGGGGTGTTTGGGGTCATTTGAAAATATTTATGTTTTGAATCTTGTCGAGTTGTCGACAAAGAATCGGGTTTCATATGCTTTATGCCTTGTGAGCGAATTCTCTTAATTAT